AACCAATTAGACTTCTGAACATACACTTCTTTTAAACAGACATTCTGATTTAGTTCTCAATTAACTCCAATTTATAAATACTTTGAAAGCATTAGGAACTGAGCATTAAAAAAAAGGGGGGGAGGGGAAGGATTAAATTACTTTATATGCACTTTATCTTATTTTTTTCCCCTAGTATGTTTTTGTGCATTTAGATATCTAAAGTATCCTTCAGGATGGGGGTGTTAAAAAAGAAACAGTGGAAATGCAAGAAACAGCCATTACAATCATAGGCGTTTGATTTGGAGTAGTTACAGCCTAAAATATATACCCTTGTAGTAAGAGAAACAATGTGTTTATGTCTTTCAGTAAAATGCCTCAGAACAGAGATTTTATGTATATATAAGTAACATTTTTTTCCTCCCATCTTAGAATTTATAAAGCTGTCAGTATTGTTGCATCTCAGAAAACACAAGTTTCATCATCCAGTCTTGGTCTACCACCTTACAAGTCCTGAATTACTGAATTTCTCCACCTTTAGCAGAGAACTGGTAGAAAATAAGATTTCTGTAGGTTCAACATCTCCAAGATGTTGGTCTGAAAAGAATCTATTCTTACCTTTTAACTTAGTTTATGTAAAATGGCATTTCTGCTATCTGAAAATAGTCTTTCCCATGTGTTACTTCACAAACCACAAAAATGTTGGTTTACTTACAACTTAAACATTTTGCTAGAGACTGATTTCTATATGAAATGTATAATAGCTCAAGAAGACCTTGTGTTTCTGGCATGACACTTCTAGCTTGAGCTTCACAATCTATGGAAAGACATCTGCTTATACAATTAAGGATACTGGGATTATGGCTAGCTAAAACCAGAAATTAAATACAATCTGTGTCAGAGAGCAGTCCTCATTGTAGGCAGGCTATGAAACTTGTGTATAAAGCAGCCACAGCCATGAGCAGTTCCACTGTGAAGAGGAAATAAAATTGCTTTTCAGAACATGGAAAACGAGCAGAGATGACTCCCACTTATTTGTAGAAACTCATGTCAAGAAAGTCAAGGGCAACCTGATCTAAGTCAGACTAAATAGAGTTCAAATAGATTTTCTACTCTAAATGGAATGGAATAGAACTAGAGTACACTATTGGCCCAAGCTTAAGATTGCACTCAATCAGATACCCAAGGAAGGGCTGGCTGCTCTGTTTATATGCCTTGACACTGGTTTTACCAACTGCAGATCTGAAAACACAAAAATTGAGCTTTGAAAACATAATACAAATAAGGGATCTTAAGAGGTATAATTCATGATCCATGATTCTTCTAGTTTCTTAAGATCCAGAGTAGCATAGACAACTTGGTGCTTTTGGTGTTGGGTTTTATTTGGTTGGTTTGGGGTTTTTTTTGTAATTTTAAGTGCAAGTCTTTTCTTTCAATATTTCTGTTAGGCTTCTGGTGCCTCAATTTTGACATCCTTGTAATATGTACTTTCAGTATGCATTACTGGAAATAAATTGCCTTTTGCCCCCAGAAGGGGGCAATGTGTAAATCTCATTTAGGTTGCCCATTTCATAGCTCTTCTCCACTTCTTTCTCTTCTATTCATTTAAAAGAAAAAAAAAATATCTCATCTAACCTGTCATCTTAAGGAATGTGCCAAGCAGAACCAGAGGGGAAAAAAAGATAGTTAACTACAGAGAGATTTACCTCCCAGATGCCGATGATTTCCTTCCCAGGAAAGAGGATACAACAGTAAGTGACTACCAGGAAGTCACATTTCAGAGTACAACATGGAAGGAGCATTTTTAAGCCCTTTTTTAATTCTCCCCACCCCCAACATGGTTGAATGTACCTAATTTCATTTAAAATTCAACTTATCAGTGGTCCTGGCTCCAAAACATTTGGAATTTCAGTAGATTTTTTTTTTGCATAGAAATTGGCATAAAGACAAGAACTGATTTGAAAAAGCAATCACCTGCCAGACCAAGTAGAGCTCTTTACTGATATTCATGTTCTCTTACATTTTGCTAGCATATGTTGGAAAACACTGTTCTGACATGCTTTCTTGATCCGAAAAGCCTCCCAATTCCTATTTCTGTCATCCTGATTAAAAAGAAAAAGTCTAAAAGAAGGTCAATGTAACAAAACCTGCAGGGACTGTGCTCTATCAGCTTTCTATTCCATTGTTGATGACAGGTAGGGAAAACAGCCAACCAAAAAAAAAAACAAAGCTCCTCAAACCAAAACCACACAGCAGATCACATTCCAAATACCCTTTACACCCCAAACAGCTGTCTTTTTGGAAGGACCATTTGTATGGTCAAAACATTTTGGTGATATCAAAGTTTATTAGAAGCACACATGCCCCACACTTAAATGTATACATTCAAGAACAGTTTCCTCAGATATTCAAAGTGCTAACTTTGTTTAGTAAACAAAACAATATGATTTTTAACTCCTACCATTCCATCATAACGGTCTCCAGGTCTACCCCTTCGGTCATAAGGCATAAGATCTCTAAAATGAGAAAAAGCAGCACATGACTCATGTTATAAACTAGTTTATATATTTTAATTCAAGTTTTCATTATTTGCACACAACCATGAATTTCTGAATGCTTTAGCCAAGATCTGAATGACATAAAATAAAGTTACAGAACTATTGACTTTAGTCCTGATAGACTGCTACACTGCAGAAATAATTAAATTAAAATACTTTACAAAGTTCTCTGGTGCAATCCTGCATAATCACTACTAACATGGAGTGTGAAACAAGTCCTGGAAACAAGTGTAATAAGCAAATTTTACTCAACTCTAGTTTTGTACAATGCATTTATGCAACAGCTTACCCGCCACGAGGGGGTGGTGGAGGAGGAAGAGGAAGATTACGAGCTCTGCTGCCACCTCTGCCACCACGACCTGGCGGAGGTGGTGGAGGTCCTCTGCGAGGGCTCATATCATCATAATCTCTTCTTGATGGAGGCATAGGTCGTCCACCACGACCAGGAGGCATTCGATCAAAGCCTCCTCTTCCACGCATTGGAAAGCCTACTGGACGTCCCCTTCTATCATCAAACATCATTGTGAAGCCACCATAGTCATACGTTTCATCATAGAAATTGGGATCATAAGGCTGGGCCCGTCCTTTAATTGGAGACTAAGACACACACACAAAAACCAAACAAAACAAAAACACACACAAACAAACAAAAAAAAAACACCACCCCTCCCCCCGGTTAGCACTGACTGTTACAATTATTCTATTTCATTAAATTACTATATTAAGTGTATAAATATTAATTTATACATTCTGAATATGTTCTTGATCTCACAATACTAATAAAGTTAGGAATGGTGATATGCTTCCTGAGAACTTAAATATGATAGAGAAACTGCTGTTACTGATAGGTGACCCATTTGTCTCACTTCCTCCTCAATTTAAAATTTCTTGTTTTACTGATATGAAAAGCATGACTAACAGTCCATTGGTACAAAAAATTACTTCCCTCTCCAATGAGGTACAACCTAATTCTAGAAAACAGGAATACTTTCAAAGGGCGCTAACAGTCCAACACTCATTTTGTTACTGAATAAGTAAGAGGCACCAAATTCAAATTAGAAATGGAAAGATAATTTTTCATCCAAATCATCTTGACTTTCATGAATACCAATGAAAGAAAAATAAGTTTAAGACACATTACCTCAGAGATAAGATCCAAGATAATCTTGATACATTCCACAACTCTATCAGGTTTTCCACCAATAAGCACCACTCTATCAGTGGAATGAGGACAACACTCTTGGAAGAGCTTAATGGTGGTCTGAGTGTTCTGTTGAAGAGAAGGAGGAAAAAAAAAAAAAAAATCACAAAAACCTTCAAATAAAAGTATTTTAAACAATTTTATTAACTTATTGAAAACAAAATGGGCAAGACATACTAAAACATTATTAAAGAAACAATCAAACCAGACCATTAAACTTCCAGTTATTTTAAGTGAATGCTTGCTTCTGAGTTCTTACAACAAATTTAATCTTAGGATATTATAAAGACCTGCAATGACATCAGTTTGTATGAAATGCTACTGAAGAGGAAAAAAGTTTCATTTTTAAAAACTTTCAATTATGGTTCATCTACACAGTCATTTAATCAATTAGCAAAAGGACCACATATCCATTATAAGCTTAAAGGTTATATAAACCTTCATATGACAAAAAGCATGCTTTGGATGCAAGACAGCAATGTTGCTAGGATTATGTCTAGTCATCTTGCCTTCCTCAGTCCGCACAAACAGTAGCTTAGGTCTAAACTACCTGGAATTGTCTTTGACACAATGCCAGGAAAAGATAGAAAACAACACTCTAGATTCATAGAGAACACTAGCTTTTTAGAACAAAACCTCATTTCTTCACAAAGAAAACAGTGATCTTCAAGGAAGTGGAACTTAAAACAAAAAAAACAAAAAACCAAAACAAAAACCAAAAAACCACCACCACAAAACACACAGAAAACCCAGCAACAAAAAATACCCACAAAACACACCAACCCATCCAAAAATCAAATGCCTCAACCACCAACTCCCCTAACAAAAACTAAAATCCACAACAAAAAGACCCAAACCCAACCCCTTACCCTCTACTACCTTTTTGATAGATATATTTAAGCATCTATTAAATTATCGTTGTTGAAGTTTATAGAGATGTGTCCACGCTAAACCAACACCGCCAATATAGTCTATTCAGTAGTTCATTCCAGGAGTGATGAATGGCATTTTAATTTGAAGTATTCTTTATTTATAAAGACTGCTAATATGCTTAAAAGCTTTATAAGAAGTCCTAGTCTCTCTCTATTGCCAACAGCCACTTTATTTCTGACTTTTTGCTAGAAAGTTGTAATAAGTAACTCAGATTGATCTTGGAACACAAAAAATCATAGAATCATTTGGTTGGAAAAGACCTTTAAGATCAAGTCCAACCATAACCTAACTCTACAAAATCTTCAGATAAACCATGTCCCTTAGTACCACATATATATGTATTAAATATGTTCTGAAGAAACAGATGTTATTGCACAAATGATGCTTACACTGACTGTTTATGAACACAAAAATCTAATTTGTTTATAGATTAAAAACAGAATCTAAAAAGAACAGAAAACAGTACCTCTCTGAGTTCTTTGATTTTAGCACCCTTGACACCGATAATTCCTCCCGCTAGACTTTGGTGAATTAGAAGTCTCAATTCACAGTCAAAGTCGCTACCTTTGTAGTGCTGATACTGTAAGAAAGATGCATACAAGGAAAGAATAATATATTAGTCAGGGGAAAAAAAAAATTGAAAAATCAAAACACTTGATTTTGTTTTTTTGTTAAGGTTTTTCTCCAAACACCATGGTATGACTTAATTTGCTGCTGAACTGTAACATTTGCTATGATAGAGTAACACACCTATTTAAGTACTTTGCCTCAACATGAGGTGATGTCAAATGAGTTTTCCTTAATTTCTTAAGTTTTTATACAATAATAATAAAAGATATAAAACAGCACAAAACACTTGCTTACAAAGCCAAGGCAGGATGGAAATTACAATATAGCTATGTCAAATTGGGGACTAAACAAGTGAGGAGACAGGTGTTTTGAAGGGGAAGAGGTTGTTTCAAATATTAATTTTCTAAGAAGATATTGTCTCTGTTCTCTACCAAAAACAATGCCAACACACAGTTTGAGAGCTATAGGCCTCCTTTCAAAAAAGGCTGGGTTTTATTTTCTAAGTTAATATATTAAAAATAGCACACAATCATCTAGAATTATCTTGTTTTAAAATCTAAATTTATACCTCTGAAAAAACAAACCTAAGAGACATACCTCTTCTAAAGTAGGGATAATCTTCTTCAAGATTTCTCCAATTGTCTCTGTATCTGCACTTATACTCAAGATGCTGTTAGAGGCCATAGTGTTAGGAGAAGGTAGAAGAGTAGCAGAAGTTCAGAAATCATAATCATATACAAAACTCTAACAAGATTGACTACACAGAAGAACTTACAATTAATATTCCCCATTTCAAGTAAACCTGTTCACTGGATTTACAACACATGCACCTTTGTTTAATATGAATTTAAGACTAGGTAGGTCTTGCAGAGAGAGAGAAAGAGAAAGTGCAAGTGAGAGCTTTTGGAAGGGCTCAGATTAAGTGGGCAAGAAATCGACACAGAACTGAAAGTAGAAGTAAATATTCACATTCCCTGCCACCACTAATTTAATATACCCTTGCCATTACATTGGTAAAACCGGCACATCTTCTTGTGGAAAAAGTGGGGATATGCAAGTGGTCAACATTTTATCTGGAGTAAGGTTGAGAGACCACTTAGAAATTAAATTACTAATGGGCTCTGCAAAAAAGGAATATAAATACAAGGAAGAAAAATACTCAAACAAAAACAATCAACAAAAAACCCACAAACAAAAACATAACACAAATGAGAAGTGAACAAAAGTGAACTAGAATTAATATTTAATCAGAAATAATTATGAACAGACAATGTTGGGGGGAGTAAGGTGGGCCACAAAGACAGCAAGAAAGTCTTGAAAGAGTTTGAATTATGACGCAGTGAATATGTAACATTTGAAGCTGTGCTCCTTCCATTGAAATAAAATTAGTGGATTGTTTGAGTGGCCAACTCACATAAAATTCAGTGACAAAAAGACTTAATGGGGAAAGTAAGACAGAAAACTTAAAAAAAACCCCAATATACAGTCTATAAGGGGATACTATTTAATTATATAAAAGGCAGGTAATAGAATACATTTCTGTCTTTCTAATCAGGCAGTGAGGCATAAACTGTTGGGACATACCGCTCAGGGCCACTGCTGTCTGGGACTGAAACACTTGCATTGTACTGCATTGGTCATTGGCGTTCGTGGATGTTGGCATTGGGCATGGGTATTCAATCGGAAGTTGTCAAGTATGGTACCCGTTTGGCAACGAGCACATTTTTGGGCATAGCCAACCAGGGTTTTCACATGGGCGTTCAGGGGCGGATGGGCCAACGTCATGGTGGGCAACGCAGGGGCAAGTCGATCCAGTACATGGGTAACGGAGATATATGGCCAAAAAAACAAGGAGAGGGAAAAGGGGGAAAAGCAATAAATTTTAATTTAATACAAACTATACTCATTACTCTCAGTTAATGAAGCAAGCTTAAGTTGTTCTGAAGACTAACACAATAATGGATTGCTACATCGACTGTGGCTTTATGGTATGGATTTAATGAGTTACTTTATCTGACTAAACTACTTTTTACTTTTAACATAATGATGTTTCAGTAGCAGGCTAGCTCATGAATGTAGACACAAAACTCTTAAGATCCATATTACTGAAACCTTGGGCAAGTTCGGAAAGTTAGTATTGCAGACCAATTAAATTATCTGGAGAGAGGTGATGTATTTATTTACTTCAAAAAAACAAACAAAAAACAAACAAAAACCCCAACAAAACAAAAACAGTAGCTGCCAAAGTTAGTGAGTCTATGTATGATTCCAGACTATTTCAGCTTAATGCTCAATTCTAGTTGCTATAGTTTGTGAACTTAGATGGAACCAATTCTGTAATGCTATATTAGCAAATATTGTGTTGAACAGTCTTGCTTGAAAAAATTGCTTAAATTGTAGCTGATGTTAAGTACAGGAGTGTAAACAAATGGAATTTAAGAAGCATTAGCAAGTTTTAGAAATACATAACATCTATGCTGAACGTGTGTCTAATCACGAGAGTCAACCCACTATAAAATATGAATAGGTAAATAAGTCATGACCATTTAAAAGTGCTTCCAAATAACAGAAGTGTTTCTTTACTGTTCTATAGCTATATTTAAATCATGCAATCTTAACATGAATGTTTTTGTGCTTTATGTCCAAGCTGTTAAAGTAAGAACAGATGGACCATTATGGGTTGGTTTTTCAAAGGAAGTTAAATAATTCTTTTATCACTGGGTTAAGCCAGCCACCTGCAATAGTTTTAAGTAGTACTATAATTGATTCACATATGGGAAATGGGGTTAAGGGTTTTAAGCTTTGCCAATATTTCTAATGAAAGATGTTAACTCAGTTGAAGAGTGTCATTAAGAGGAACCCTCTTTGAAAGCAAAAAGGTTTAATATAAACCTCTCCTCCCACATAACTCAAGCTGGGTTTTAATTACAACACAAACTGAAAAACTAATGTTATCTCCTCTAACAATCATTATAAATGGCTTATGATTGTTGTCGTCTAGATTTGAATTTCTCAATTTCTAGGAATGCATGCAATCAAGTTTTCAAATGTAGTGCTCTGAAATAACTGGTAATAAATTAGTTCAAACTCATACTCACATCTGTACGAAGTGCCTTAATATTTTTGCCACCTTTTCCAATTACTGCTCCAGCATTCTGGAAAATAGTTTTCAGAAGTTATGTTATGCTCATACAGCACAGACTAAATTTTTGAACTGAAGACTAAGAACAACGTATCTACTTCTGCATTACCTTGTGGGATGCATTTAGTGGTGGGACAAGGCTTCTTTTGCTTTTGAAAGGTTCAAATCAAATTGAAACCTAAACTGACATGGTTTTACCATGGGGGAAAAAGAAGGTCACAACAGCTCTTATCACTGAACTTTGGAAAAATATAAAAATACTCAATAATGTTATTTCAATTTCAAATTTAGGTTTCTAAGCAATTCTGCCTGTGTTAAAACCATCTCATAGTTAAAGCAGAACTGAAAAAATACCTTTTGGGATCCCACACATGTTATATAGGTCAATGATTTTCCTAATGTATTTGGTAACTTTTTAAAAATTATTTTTAAATGTTTACAAATTTCACTTTCACACTCCAAACATTTGATAATTTCAAATGCTACTTTTGATTTAAACTTATTAACTCAACTGACCACTTAGACTAGTGTCTGAAGAATGTAAAGCCAATATAAACAATAGCTAGTCTCCAGTTGCTAAAATCAACAGGAATAGTCTCAGATATTCAAGAGGGGCAACTGTAAAACTACATTTTTACCAGGCTATTTCAAGAACTACATGCAAAATTATTGCTTTCATTATGCTGTTTATACATGTCAACAGCACCACAAGCATTTTGCAGCACTCCACATGACTATTCATCAGAAATGCCACACAGTTAAGGTAACATTCCCGTGCCCCGACACAAAAGACTGAGTTACTTCTGACAGCACAAACGTCTGTAACGACTAGAAACACTAAAGGAGATTCATAAAATAACAATTTTACCATGACAATTTGTACTAGTCAATGAAGCGATTGCAATCCCCGAAACATTACTCCCATATTTCTTCCTGTTTATACATACAGATTTACTAAATCTGGGAAAATTACTAAAATCCTGAGGAAGTCCTAATCTTGCCTCTCATGTTAAATTTACAATCATAAGATGATCATTCTCTAAACTGCTCGCTTTCAAAAGACTACTACACAGTCATCCCCCTGTAAACTATTACTTTCCACACAAATATAAGTGGCTTATAATTTCTATTGCTTTATTTTTTCAATGAGCACACTTTTTTAAGAAATCCCATAGATCCTTAAAGACCCATCTTTGAAAAGTTTTAAGATAATACCACTGCAATACACTTCTACTATCATGCACACTTAAGAAATATTCCTAATATGTTATTTTACTTTAAATAAAGCACACTTTCTTTTTAAACATACACTTTGTCACCACTATCTTAAGTAATGGTATAAGCAGGAACATAGTGATACTGAAAAAGCATACTTTGCTTTGAAGCAAGATGCGTAATTCAACCATCTCATCTGTATTACGAGATCTTTTGAAGGCCTGTTCTTCTTCAATATCTTCTGCAGGACGTTTGCCTATAGACAGGTCCATAGAGGAGGGAAAACACAAACATATATTTAACATTCTAAGTCATGATAAAATTGCATATCAAGCTTATGCACTGTATTCCTAATGAAGCATTCCCTCCTATTAGCCCAATGCTAACTTCCGATATCTACCCTGATTATAGCACAGAAACAGGTTTTTACTTCATCAGCCTACATATCAATTAATTATTGAAGACTCATTCCAAATCTATGAACTACGGTTGAAATGAGAATTTTGCAATTTTGAAAAATTTACAAGATGTCATTTAAAGCAGTGCCGCATCACCCACCTAATATTTCTTTTACAATTAGGAAAACCTTAAAGCCCAAAAGATCAAAAGTAGTTTGTCCAATACTGAAATACTGGTGGAACAATAAGAAAGCAGAATTTCAAATAGCTTTGAAAAACTGGCATGAATCAACTCAATGCTTATACCCTCTCTCTTCTTCATTAATTATGTCCAAAAAGGTTTTAGTTGAGCTAATAGAGACATTACATATATATACACATTCCCTCAAAGTGACAACTGCAATAAATACAGTAATAGATATGCCTGACCGTATTTTTACATAAACACACTGTCCAGACAAGTACTGAATATTTAGCTATCAAATATTTTCAAATCCATAGTTATAACATTAAGTTACTTATGACTACAATACTTCCCCCCAAAGTTTACATATTCATGATACAAAAACCATGTCAAACCATACGGGACACTGAAAAATTAAAAGTTTAAATGCAAAAATACTGCCAGTACAAACATTTGATACAGTTAGCATTTCTAAATATTTTGGAATGCCTTAAGACTTTAAAAAGGTTCTTCCCCCCCAAATAAAATAAAATAGCCCTTTAAAAAAATTACCATTTGTCTCTGTGTTGGTAAAAGTCTCCTCCTGCTGTTCAGTCTCCATTACCTTTTATTCTTAGGTGTGCAGATAAAACCTGTTGCAGAAAAAAAAAATCACCCTAGCACATCTATTTTGTGAGTAAAAAAACAAATCACAAACTGTACATCATACTAAAGGAAAAACAAAATGAGACACCCACTTTTAGAACTTACCAGTTTTATATACACTTGCAGAGCAAAACTCAAGTGTTCTGGGTGTGATCAAAACCCAACAGTCTACTGCTTCAGAAGCCTATGAAAACAGTTTGGATTCTTGCTACAACTAAAAATGGGGGTTTGACCCAAATTTTTGCTGCAAAGCCAAACACATCACTAAGAGGAGATTACAAACTTGTAAGTTCACAGATTTGATTAACAATTACAGTCTGAATTATTCTGGACTTGCTCAGTTTTCAACCATGTGCTAGTTTTAAGCAAACACATTTACTGAATGATTTTCAGATATTTAAAGGGAACAATTATCCAGTTCCTATTTTTAACATGTTATAATACATATCTTGAATTTTCTTTTTAAGGGACACTATGTATCGATCTGCTTGTTTAGTTCTAAACAATTTAGACAAAAAAGTTATAAAATTAATACTTATAAAAGTTCTTTATCAAACTACTAACAGGCATTCTATCATGCCTTCCATTCAATATAACAGATGAAGAACATAACAGCTGCGTACATGTATAAAGAATCTCAAAAGCAGTTGAACTTTTTTGACTTTGTGAAATGGGTGCCTCTTTCAAGATCTATTTTTGTTAAGTCCATCTGAGTATACTTATAAAACACATTATGAGTCAGGCAAAACAATTTTGCACCTTATTCTCATAAAAAATTTATTTGTACAGATAACAACCAAAGAATGCTATTTTCCCCCTTGGATTTTATTGTTCAAATTCCATTGCCTGAAAAAAACACTCCATGAAGAAAAAGGGAGCTAAGCTTAACTCCTTAAAACATTCTTTCAATCATCTCCGTTAATTCGTAACAGTTACCCTGCTTGTGCAGGCTAACAGCAAGCACTGCCGGTAGGCATGCACTCTTTCACAGTCGCTGATGAGAGACCGCCTTCCGAACAAATGCTAGTATTTCCAGACCCCTAATTTGAGCTAATAGAAAAGCATCACTTAAAGAATAGCCAAGTCTCAAACAGACATTGCCAGAACACAGGAGAGAAGGGGGGCAGCAAGAGAAATTTCACCAGGTTCAAATGACTAGCCTTTCCAGATTCTTCTATTCTATTTAAGACCTTTCCAAAAATTTTAAAGCTGCGAGGGAACAAAGCATAATAGTGCTCAGGACAAGATACTCTCAGTTAGTTACTGTGCTCTGTTGCGTAAATCGAGTTTGCGGGATTAAATTGACTACCGCAATGTTTTTAAAAACATCAAAAGGATAAAGCAGTCACGAACACGAGTAGAGATACCGACACATCTCTATCCCGCTCCCTCCAGGACGAAAAGCCCTTCCCGCCCCGGACGCCTCCCCTTCCGCAG